CCCGCCCCCACCCCGCTCAACCCCCAACCTCCAGCCTGATCCTGCAGCAGGCCGCAGGTCCCCCTCTCCCTTGCCCTCGCCTGACGCAACCCCCGCCAACACCGCCACCCCCCCCCCCCAGGAGACTGTGTTTGCGATGCTGGTGGAGATCACGGAGCGCGCCATGGCCCACACCGGCAAGAACGATGTGCTGGTTGTCGGGGGCGTGGGGTGCAACGAGCGGCTGCAGGGCATGATGCGCACCATGGCAGAGGAGAGGGGCGGCACGCTCTACGCCACGGGTGGGTACGGCCGCTACGCGGGGCGCCCACTCATGTGAGGGGTGCCAATCGCGACATTTGGCAGCAGGCTTCGCACACAATGAAGGCAGAATAGGCGGTGGTGGTCGCGCTGCTGCGCAACCTGATGCAGTCACGCCTTGTTCTTGCTCCCACTTGCGCCCGAAAGCGTCGCCTGCCGGCCCACAATCCACCGCCACCATACTCCCCTTTTTCCAAACGCGCCCACTGCTGTCCTCTCAGACGACCGCTACTGCATCGACAACGGCGCCATGATCGCGTGGCCGGGCCTGCTGGCCTTCAAGTTGGGGCTGACCACGCCCCTCAAGGAGACCACCTGCACGCAGCGCTTCAGGACGGATGACGTGCTCGTGGCCTGGAGGGACGACTGATGGCGCAGAGTGCCCTTATCAGACACGGCGTGATAGTTTAGGACCGCCAAATCGCACGTTTTGTTTGTCGTTCACGCGGCCAGTACGCGCCGCATGCAGCAGTGGCAGAAGGGCCTACAGTAGGTTGGCCAAGTCATGACCGTGTGTAGGCTAGACAACTACGGTTGACTGCGCGCGCAACTCGACCTCTATCTTGCAGTTATAGTGCTTTGTGTAACACAGTTTTGGAACCCATACGGCAGGGCATGGTTGATTTGCGCCCGGCCTGTGCACCAGCGCGGTGTGCACAGCATTGCCTTACCCCAAACTGCTTCCAGCGAGGATTAAGGCATGCCCTTGGGCGCAGGCTGCCGCCTGCTGTTGGGGAGGCAGGTGACGGGCAGCTCTGCCGGCACGCCGCTATGTTGTAGTGTCAGTGGCAAGGTGCGAGTGCTGCGCGATACGGCATGGCACGGAGCGTGCGGACGCGTGCGCCAAATGCACGGTGGAGGCGGCGTTGCAGCACTGGAATGAGCCGCTTGACGGAGCGAGCTTCAATTAACTGGTTGGGTTGAGCCAGCATTGGTACCATGTGGCGGCTCCGGCCAGTCCCCGCCAGCCAATGTTCACCTGTATGGGTCACGAAAGCAGAGAGAGCGAGAAAGCTGCGCCACAAATGAGTTGGATTTTTGAGGTAGTCTGGCAGCGGCGCGAGCTGAGCAGCGCGTCGCTGCTGCTGCTGCTGCTGCTGCTGCTGCTGCTGCTGCTGCTGCTGCTGCTGCTGCTGCTGCTGCTGCTGCATGTGCCTGCTGCATAGCTTGACGCCATGTTATCATACACCCTTGACGTGAGCCGCGTGCCGAAAACAACAAGGCTTAAAATATCAAAGGACAGGCTTCGAAGTGGTGTCTACCCACCACCCTCCTTATGCCCACACCTCAAAACCCTGCAAACCCCAATCAATACGAGTACCCCCCTTGGTCAAAGCCGGGGACACTCCACGCACCGCCGGTCCGGCCTGCTTGGCCACCTGGTGGTTTTCAGATACCAACCGATGACACTGTAAGTGGCACGCCAGCGATGGCCCTTCTGACCGGCAGGCAGATCTGACGAGGAGTTGAGTACTGCGCTCCCACGCCTGCCTGGCTGTGCCAATCATGACGCGAAGTGCATGGATGCCCCTGATCCTGAATTGAGGTGCCCGCGCTTTTGTCCAGATGTTGTAAATCGCAGCGTTCATAGCATCGGGCTTGTATAGCTATCTTGTAACCGCAGGCCCCACAAGCTTCACTCACCTTAGGTGTCACGAGATCACAACCCAGCTCCCTCACCGAGCACCCATGGCCCGCGCGGGCCTCCTCCTGGCGTTGATCGCCGTATTAGTATCATCTATATACGCCGAGAGGCCCTTGCAGCGCATCAGCCTGGGCAGGACGCAGCCCACTTCGCTCCTGCACGGCTGGAGGGATGGGGGCCACAACATCCCGCTCCTTAATTACATGGATGCGCAGGTATGATCTTTGCACCGATATGAGGTCCTGGCATGGATCGCAGAGCGTCAAATGCATGTAGCGAAGTCCACATGGCGCTTGTGCGATGCTGTGAGCGGGCGATGCATCACCCCCACGCCGCTTGCGCCGCTCGCATTGCGCCACCCTCCCCATTCGCAGTACTACGGGTCCATTGCGCTGGGTACGCCCCCTCAGCACTTTACGGTGATCTTTGACACTGGTTCCAGCAACCTGTGGGTGCCTTCGGTCCAGTGCGGCTGGTTCAACATAGCGTGCCGCCTGCACAACCGGTACGACGCGGGCCGCTCTTCCACATACAAGGTGAGGGGAACACTCGTTGTAGGCAGCTCAGCTTGGGTGAAAGTCCATGATGCTGCACCGCGCCGTGCCCGCCGTACCTGTGGCTGTTCGCGTGAAGGGCGCAGCAGGTTTCCTGATGTGGGTTGGGGGGGGGGGTCGGGTGTCCCTTTTTTTTACGAGGGGCAGGTGGCACACGCCATGACCTCAACTCCGGAAGCGTTCGACCGCCTTTTGTCACGCGCGTGCTGATGAATTCCTCTGACAGGGTGCGCTCTTGATCTGCCCCTCCTCACCCCATGCGTCACCCCTGGCGTCTTGGCACCCCTTCTGACTGGGGAGCATCCACTTGCTCCACTCTCGCCCGCCGCCCCCCCCCTGAACCCCCCAACAGGCCAATGGCACCGATTTCGCCATCCAGTACGGCACGGGGTCCCTCTCTGGCTACATCTCGGTGGACCGCCTCACCTGGGGAGGCCTGCACGTGAGGCAACGAGCTTGGGGGCCGCAAGGCTGCCACGCGGCTGCGACAGGGGCCCAGGGCCCGGATGCGGCATGACCTTGGCGGTTTGTCTAGAGCACTTCGCGCTTTCGTCCTGCACTTAACCCCTGAAACCTTGCTCCCCTCGGCACCCCATGTCACGTTTGCAGGTCGAGAACCAGGCGTTTGCTGAGGCCATCAACGAGCCGGGGCTCACGTTTGTGGCGGCAAAGTTTGACGGTATCCTGGTGCGTGCACGGGGGCGCGCGGGCGCGTGTGTGAGCGTGTGTATACTCAGGCGCATTTGCGTGTGGGTTTGTGATGTGTTCTTGTTCTGACAAGCACCGCTGGGCCGGCATTATGTTGAGCATGGCTTGCAGCCGGGCAGTGTGGTGTAAGCGCATGTTGTTAATTTGGACCCTGCATGAGCGCCGGGGCCACATCACCCCGCCGTGGCTGGCTGTCAACAGCTCCGAGGGATGCCGTTGGCTCCCGCCACCCCTACTGCAAATCGTCCCTCCAGCCAAGAATCGTGTTTTGGCCCCCTCCACCCCCTTCCCCCCTTGCCTCCCGTTTCCAGGGTTTGGGTTTCCCAGCCATCGCTGTTGACGGCTGCGTCCCGCCCTTCAGCCTGCTGGTGGATCAGGGCGCGGTGCAGGAGCCCGTCTTCTCCTTCTGGCTCAACAGGCGCGGGGCGGGGGGGGGG